TGTGTGTGCATGACGGGGTGTGTGTACATATGTATACACTATGTTTGTGTAGAGCAGTGTGGGTAAATATATATGCTTTGGGTGTGTACATATATATACACACACACAATGTGTAGAGGTGTGTGGGTACATATAGAAGCTGTGTGTTTGTGTGGGGCGGGGGTGTATACACCAACACGCTGTATGTTTGTATAGGCCTGGGGGAATATGCACAGTGCATTGTGTATCTGTTTGTGTAGATAAAATGTAATGGCAGCTGTGACCGTTCTCCGGGCCTGGGGGGATGGGACTCAGGCTCCTGGGGAAGCCGGCAATGATTGCAGAGGGGAGTGCGTTTTCTGGAGGTGTCCCCCGGGCTGTTGTGGGACGTCCCTCCTGGGCAGGCTGCTCGGCTACATGCACTTATCTCCCCCCGTCTCTGTCTGTCAGGGGGTGCTGTGCGCCCTGCTCCTGCTCTCGCTGCCGGCCGGCCAAGCCCAGAAGCGGGCAAAGGATCACCAGCGCCACCACCACCACCACCACCACCACCACTGCTTCAGCCAGGAGCAGCTGCAGGCCGGGGAGCTGCCCACCCACTTTGTGAGCAGGACCATGAAGTGGGACCGATACGCCCCCGTGCAGCTGGTGCCACACCTGGAGAAGATGCAGCAGGAAGGAGGCCAGAGACGCAAACGCCAAGTAGATGGGTGCCCGGCTCTGCAGCTCCAGGCTACCGTCAACAGCGAGCCCAACGAGCGCTCCCTCTCTCCCTGGAGATACCGGTAGGCACGGGTGGCCCCTGGCTGGGCAGGGTTTGCATGGGGAGGAACCATAGACCGTGATACCAGGCAGCATTCTGTGCCTAGCAGGCTTGAGAAGGGGTCGTGCGGGCTAGTGAGCTCAGCTCCTGACCCCTCCACCCAGCGTGACCTTGGGCACACCTCTTCCCCTGGCTGTGCCTCAGTTTCCTCTCTTGGGGAACGGGCTGACGCTAGCTGTCCCTCACGAGTGTTTTCACAGCCCCACGAACGCACCGGATGCCGTCTGAGCATGGCTCTCGCTGGTCCTTTTCATTCGAAGACCAACCGACTCCATATGAAAATCCCCAGTAGGGCTGATCGGTGGAAAGGGTTCCCTCGGCAGAACGAGGCTTGTGGGTTCTCACCCGCACAAAACAGGAGCAAAACACTCCAATCCCGCTCCTCCCCAGCCAGGGAGCCACAAGGGAACGGACAGTTGCTAAAGAACGACTGATCTGTGGTTGCCTGGGGCCCCTATGGTCGCCTGGAGTTGTAGGAACCCCCGGTCCAGAGAGACACAGGGGATGGCCCTGGAGCAAATCTCCCCAGCTGTTAAATCTCTGCAAGAGAATCACAGAACAGAAGACCTGTTGATTGTTTACACCTCGGCCATCCCCTTCAGCCAGAGCAGGGTTGGACCCCTCTCCTGGTGCTTAGCACTGATGCACCATTAACTACTGTCTCCCTTCCTGCCCTGGCTGTCCCCATTTCACAGATGGGGAAACTGAGTCCCCAAATGTTCATCGAAACTGTTTCCTTGGGTCCGTCCAGTGGAAACAGGCCTTAAATAGACCCTGAACGAATCCCCAGATGGTGCAGCAATGTGGAACTATCTACTGAAGATACTTCCATGGCCCCATCCCCAGCGCATCTCATGTAGTTATCCTCACGCGCCCCTGGGAGAGATTAGCCGCATTGTACAGGCGGGGCCCTGAGATGCTAAGTGAATTGCCCAAGGTCACGCAGGACATCTGGGGCAGAGCTGGGTGAATGGAGACGCTTGGAAACATTGCTCTGGGGCTGGGCACCTGGAGCTCTCCCTGACGTGGATGGAGGGTGACCAGCTCCTGTGCCCCCCCAGGTCACACAGGAAGGGGTAGTTCATGCTTCTGGCTCCCCGTTAAGGTGCCAGCTGAGCTCAGAGCATGGCAAGGCAGCCAGGGAGGCTGCTGCCAGCGGGGGATGGGGTTATATTCGCTCTGCCTTGCCCAGAGCATGGTGTGACCCTTCTCCTCTCCCGCAGCATCGACGAGGATGAGAACCGCTACCCGCAGAAGCTGGCCTTCGCTGAATGCCTGTGCACTGGCTGCATTGACGTCAAGACGGGCCGGGAGACGTCCTCGCTCAACTCTGTGCTCATGCACCAGACCATGATGGTGCTTCGCCGCAAGCCGTGCCCGCACAATGCCAGCCCTGGGACCTTTGCCTTCGAGGTGGAGTACATCAAGGTGCCAGTCGGCTGCACCTGTGTCCTCCCCAGGTCCAGCGGCTGAGCACGTGACAGGTGCTGGAGCAGCCGAGCTCCCGTGGAGCCAGCTGGTTTCCAGCATGTTAACCCCAGACCCGTAGTGTGACTGAGTCACACCGACCAGTATGTTTGTTTTAAAGCACTTACTATTTATTTAAATTGTAGGCCCTATGGAACCGTTTCTCTGTCCCTAGCGAGACCCGCCCAACCAGCTAGCTGTCCTGGGATTTGCATTTCAGCCTGCCACCTGGTGATCCTGAAATCCAAACCGTCAGCTGCCAACGTTGAGCTGCAGGTGCTCTGCAAGCTGGAAATGCAATGAAAAGAGCTGTGAATCCTCATGCCTCAGGGCATCACCTGACTGTCAGCTAGAGGGGTCAGGAAGGAATTTCCTCCTGGCTAGAGTTTTGCACTATTAGGTGCATCTCTTGGGAAGCGAGAGGGAATGTATTCCTTCCTCTGAAGCAACTGGCAGTAGCCACAGGCCACTAGCCTGTTGGAGGGCTCATTCTAATGCTCTTGTGTTTATTACAGACCTCATGCCTAGCTGGCCCTGCCTCCTTCCCCACGGTAGCTAGAAGGTGCATGTGACGGGAGGAGAAGGGGTTATATGGAGCTAGGCAAGCACGTCTTCCTTGCTGATTGCACACATTGTGCCGGGCACTGCCTCTGGGTGCTCTCTAGCAGAGAGCAGGCCAGGGCTCTTCTTTGTGTCCACATTTTTCTTTACAAAAAACCCCCCAAACATATGAAATTCCAGCCAGAAAAACCTGGCAGGAAAGGCTGCACAGTGAAGCAATGGCCAAGCGGGGGGGTTGCCTCCATATCCTTAACTCTGCCCTGCAGGAAGCAGTGCGTACTGACTAGCATTGTCCTTGCGGCGTCACTTTGCAGCCTGACGATGCTCTCTGGGCCGGGGACTCGCATGTACGTTCCTATCAAACCCAAGCACGTTGGCTGGCCAGCAAGCTGTGCTGTGGGGCGATCAGCCCTGCTCTGGAGCCCAGCCTGCCTGTGCTCTGCGCATTCCCAGCCGCTTGGGAGACCTGCAGTCCCCTGCAGCTGTCCGTGACGCTGCAACGCAGGGAACCATGGGCTAGTACAAGGCTGCGTCCAGCCCAGATGGCCCCCAGCTGGGCCGAAAGGGGTCGGGGCCAGCCAGCCGTGACGCTGATTTGTTCTGTGTATTTATTGGTTATTTATTTATTTCTATTTGCTGGGAGATGCTGTCCCCAGAAACGGCGGTGCTTGTAACCGCGAGGTGGGAATGCTGTGGCAATGAGATGCCGGTGATACTGTTCCCTGGGGGGGGAGGGGCTCACCGCTAGGCCTCCTCCACCGAGAAACATTTTCTTTGGCAAAACACTGAGCCTGTCTCACACTAGCCACAGCCTGAAGTCTTGCATTGGAAATCAGGCCCGGCAAGGAGGACGTCAGTGAGGTGTTCTGGCCAGGCTGGCGCTGGGCAGTGCTTATAGTCCCTCATGAGCAGCAAAATGCCCTTGAAAAGCAACCCCTGTGGCTTGTAAAGAGCCAAGCAAGTGGCCACACGTGTGCTCAGTCCCCACAGCATCGGGCCAGCCCCGCGTCCAGCTGGCCCCAAGAATGGGCCATTTCTTTTGCAGCAGCTGCTGTTGTTGCTTTTGAAAGTGGCTAGGGGGGGCTCTCTCCTCAGCCTACAGGCGATAATCTATTTATTTAAGCTCCATGTATTGTGAAGTCTGGTGCGTGTGCGATAAGCCCTAATTATTATTATTATTTATGCCAAGCCATTATTATTTATTGTGTCACTGTTAAGCTGCGCTAGTTAATATTGCCTGGATTGGAGTGGTGCTGATTTGTTGAAAGCAGCTGCTGTTCCTGGGATGTAATTGCGCCGGTGTGGACGGCTGGGGAAGTGGCAGAAACGCCAGCCAATAAAGTTTGATTTCCCTTTGGAAAGTGTCCAGGGCTCAGCCTTGTTTGTTACGCTACCAGGCAGCAGTGACTCTGTGGCCATGTCCCAGGGTGACGCCAATCAGCTCCCAAGCGCGGAACAGCCCTTGGGTGAGATGCTGCCTCCCTGCGCGATTGCTGCTGGGAAAATACCCCTGGCATAGGAGCGCCGTGTGGGGCTGGCCCATGCACCCCTGCTCTGCCCCCATCAGAGCATGGGAAGTGCAAGAGGGGGCGTGGCCACCGCAGGGAGGCTGGGCCGAGTTCGACACTCAGCTGTGCTGCCCAAGAGGGCGCCAGTGAGGTTTGGGGTGAGTTGGAGAACTGCTGTTGTCCTTTGAGGGGGAGGCGGGTCTAGCATCTCTACCCAGGGGGTGAGCTCAGCCGCTGGACGGTGCTGCTGGCTGCAACAGCCTGTGCGGGTGAGTGGGGAGAGGCGGGGTATGAAAAAGCGAGAGCCGGCTCAGGCCTAACAAAAGGGGCTCCGGAGGCCACCCAAGGGCCGGGCCTGATGAACAAGGCGAGGAACGACGGGCCCCGCTTGGCGTGCTGGAAAGCCGGCCTAATTAGGGAATGAACTAATCAGGGGATGGGCTACTCCACCCAGGGCGAGACGGAGGGTGTCAAAACAGTGAGCCCGACTCCTGGGCTAGTCCCTCAGGAAAGGGCAGCAGGCCTCTGGGTCAGTCTGTCCTTCATCGGTGCACTGAGCCCACAGCCCAGCGCTGACCCCACCTGATACACGTGAGCGCCTGCTCCGGCTTCCCCGCCCTCGTTTGCTCCTGTCCAAGCCCACTAGCGCCCGCCTGGCCTACCTTGCTCCCGCGACTTTTCGCCTGCCCCGGAGCCCAGCGGCATCATATGGCACCAGCATGACATGGCCCAGCCAGAGGGTGGGGCTACGCTACAGCCTTCGGGCACCGACAGGCCGCTTACGGCACCCTCGTTATGGCCACGTCCACAACGATGCTGCGTCCGCCGAAGTAAGTGGCCCGTGACACCGACATCATGACGCTACCGCGTCGCTCTCACGTTGGTGTAGTCAGGACGCCGCCGCGTCTGTGTAGCCCCTGCGTGACTTACATCGGCTGTCAGGCCCAAGAGGGCTGACCTCCCAGCCCCAAGCCCTGGCACTGCCAGCCCAAGCTGTCAGCGGGGCGCGGGGCTCACAGCTGTGAGCACGCCCCAGCCCCTGCTACTGCCTCCCAGTAAGGGATGGAAATAGTACACTCCCTGCTGTGAAATGGAAGCCTGGGCTGTCAGTAGCCGGGCCGGGGGGGGAGGGGGGGAGCGTGGCTCCCAGCTGTGAGCCCGCACCCAGCTGAGAAGCTCAGGCTGTTGGGGTGGGCAGGCCCAGTTGTGAGCTGGTGCCCACCTGACAGCTTTGGGGGTGGGGTGGGGTGGACCAGCTGTGACTTACAGCTGAGGCTGTCAGCCCCTGAGCTGCCGGGCTCCAGCTGTCAGCCCCCTCCTCTCAGCACTGTCCCATGTCAGTCGGTGGCAGCATTCCGGGGGGGGGGGGGGGCACCCCTCGCAGCACGGCCCCAGGCCGGGCGGGGGCGGCATGCCGGGGGGGGCACACACCTCTCAGCACTGTCCCATGTCAGTCGGTGGCAGCGTTCCGGGAGGGGAGGGGGCCGCACACTGCCAGCAGACGGCGCAAGTGTGGCTGTGACCCACCACGTTAATTACTGCAGTGGCTGTACGGCGACATACTTTAGCCAAGCGCATCCATCCATGTTTGACCAGCTGCCCTGTATCACGCGCACATCAACAAACGCCACAGCTCCCCGACCCTTCTTACCCGGCTCTGCGCCCCTTCATGGCGCACACGTTTGTCAAGAGCAGGATCCGTAACCAGCACGCCATGGGGAGCTCAACAGCACGCGTCCCCAGTCTTTCCCGCGAAGGAGGCGGGCGTGTTGGGGTCAGAGCCGCGAACGGCCAGCCGGACGCTATAAAAAAGGGCTTTGATGCACGAAGCCAGAGGATGGGTGTAGTCCTCCCCCCCCCCCCCGAGTCGCCCATGGGGGCCTGCGCTGGGCTCATAGCGCACCTACAGGCAGGGGCTGCAGCGCCCGCAGGACCGCTGAGGGGAGGGGGCAACCGCCCACATGACTCTGCCCAGGGTTAGGGCAGGCAGCTGGGAGGGCCCTGGGTCTCATGCCCCCCCCTCGATTTGCAGGGGAGGAGGGATTTGAAGCAACCTCTGCCCCTCCCCATTGCGTGCGCTAGCCACTACCTGCTGTGGGGCTCCCGCAAGTGCTCCTTTGATGCTGTTACACGGTGGATAAGGCAGGAGTCCCGCGCGACTGTGTGTGTGTGTGTGTCCGAGCAGGAGGCTCCAGCCTGGGGTGGGGGTGGGCACACGCAGCGAGGTGGGGGGAGCCCCAACAGCCAGCCCCCCGCCCCCCCTCCCCCGAGCCACAAGTGCCTTTTTTATTTAGCCCCAGTACACTAGCTGCAAGAGGGCAGCACACCCCCAGAGCCCAGTGGTTAGGGCACCAAGTGGAGACAGGGCCGATCTCTTCCGGTGGGGCGGGGGCGTTAACTGGGAGGCTCCCACTGTACACCCCCCCCCCCCCCCAGGGCAAAATGCAAAGGGCAAAGGGGGCCGGTGTCCTAGGCACTACGAGGGGGGCAGCCCCCGCAGCCCAGACCCCAAACTCCCAGAGAGTGGGAGGGCTTAGCCCCCACCCCGGTATCACCCCGCCCCCGGCTGGCTCAGGTGGCTCCCCCCCACCTGCCCAACCGCTGACATGGTACCTAAGCCCGGTGTCTATGTGTGTGACTCTGAGGCAGGTGCAGGTACCCCCAGGCAGAGCTGACAGTGCCACAGGACGGTGGCTGGGTGTGTGGCCAGCCCACAGGGCCTGCACCGTGCTGCGTGGGTTACAGCCCAACCCCCTGGCACAACAACTGCTGCGTGGGCCCTTCCTGCCAAGATCCGGGCCGCGATGTAACCGGCCTGGTGCAACCCCGACATGCACAATGGTGCCACTTCAGCACGGAGCGCTGGCAAAAACAGCAGCGGGGTGAGCGGGTTGAAGTCAGGGAATGGGAGACAGAGCTGTTCCAGGCCAGCCCTGCCTGGGCAAGGGGAGGCCGGGCTAGGCCAGGGAGGGGAACCTGGGGTGATCCATGGCTCGGGCACTGATTTTAGTCTGGTGCAAGGAGAGACACTAGCTGCCTTGGGGGATGAGAAAGGAAACCTGGCTCATTTCCTCCTGGGCCACGGTGCTGGGCACCTGCCGGACACCAGTGCCGACCCAAGATTGGGGGGGAGGGGAAATCCACTGCCCCTCCCCTCGGCCCGAAGTGCCCAAGGCTGTTGCGATGTGCCAGCCGTTCAGTGCCCCGGCTGAACGTAGCAACCAGGGGCTAGCACAGCCATGCCCACTCAAACACTAGCCCCACGTGGGAGCTAACTCGCCCTCGGGGGCCATGGGCCGGCTGCCTTCCCCTCCACGGCGCCTACTGCCCGTGCACCATCCGTCCTGGACCCACAGGACATCAGCCGGCCTCTCACCCCAACATCCTCACGGCTGGCAAAACCAGGCCTCGCCCCGGGCACAGAACACCCCACCTTCCAAACACCCCCCCCCTCCCGTCTGGGCTCCCGCTGCCCTCACAGCTGGGCTGCCCTGGCTGAATAGCAGCAAGCCCACAGCGCCCCCTGCAGCCCAGAACCACAAACTGCTGCACAAATTCAACCAGACTGTGACCCTACCCGCAGCACAGCCCCAGCGAGCGCCTGGGGCTGGGGGACCCCCCGACCCTGCTCAGGCCCAGCTGCCTCTGGTGCTCTCCTCGCAGCGGGCTGAGGAAGGACCCCTTCCTCCCCTGACCTGGCTCTTTGACCCCCATCCCAGCACCAGCCCCCACCCCACTCTCTGCCTCCCCACCCACCCCCAGCCCCCTCAGGCAGCCAGCAGAGGAGGAGGGTGGGCCTGGGGTCCCCAGCCAGCACTGGAGCTGGGTGAGAGAGACACCCCATGCAGGGACCACACTCAACCGCCTCACAGCACCCCCCCCCTCCCGGAGCCCCCCCCCCCCCCCCCCCCGGCCCCCCCTGCCTACTGGCCCCCCCCCCCCCCCCGTAGAGATCCCCTTGGATGCTGGCTTCCCCCAGCAGCCAGCACCCCTCCCCTGCCCCACACACCCTGCTAGCAAAGCCAGAGCCAGGGGAGCAAGTGACTTCACGCAGCACCCTGGCTTCTCCGTGAAGATCTCGCCCCCAGAGCTGCCCTGGCAGGCTGAACGGGGCTCTCCTTGTAACCCGTGCTTTGAGGCTGCCCATGCCGGTAGCAGCTGGCACCTGAGGAGACGCAGGTGAGGCGCGGATGGGATGCCCTGGTACCGGAGGGGGATGGGGCAGGGTCCGGGCGTCTCAGCACCGACAGAACAACAAGGCAAGGCGGAAAATGCAAGGCCTGGGGGGTCCCGCCTGCCTGCACAACCCACACCCCCTCCCGTGCAGCGAGATCAGAGATTGCTTCACTCGTTTTATTACGGTATCAAAAGGAGACAACCCAATGAAGTGATGCCATTCAGCACAACCACGCCCCTGTACAGGGGAGGGGCCCAGCAGGAGACAGCCGCCCCCAACTCTCCCACATCCCAGTGGGCAGAGTGGGCTCCACAGCCCCCCACTGTGCAAAGGAGCACCAAGGCTGCTGGGCTCTGTGACGCCGGGGGGTCCTGAGCAGGCTGTAGTGTGAAGGGGTGACGGGAAGAGGACTGGGCTCTAGAGCTGGGGGGGGCGGGGGAGGAGAACTGGCTGTCCAGGGGGGATGGGGAGCAGGCTGGACCCCGGGAGGGAGCATCTGTGAAGGGGGCATGAGGCTACGGAGCTGGCAGTGGGGGCGCCCGGCTGCAGGCAGAGTGTGCTCAGTGCGCGACTCCCTCCTGCCGGGCAGAGCGCAGGGCTGACGTGTTACTCGGCCTCAATGGTGACCGGGACGGGATTTTCCTGGCCGGCCTCCTCCGCCGGCTGCTTCTTGCGCGTTTCTGCTGGCGGCCGCGGCGGGGGCATGGTGGGGGGCTGCTTGATGGTGCCTCCTCCCACCTGTGGCCGCTCCTGGGGCTTCTGCTCGATGGGGTTCCACTCCTCGCCGCGGATTGCAGCCTGTAAAGCAGCCCCCACAGGGCACTGAGAGCCGAGTCACCCCTTCCCCCGCCCCCCCTTCAGAGAGCCTCCCTCAGGCCCAGGAACCCGTCCATACAGCTATCACCCCCCACCACCTCCCATTCACACAACGGGCGCCTCTGCTGGCCAACCTAGCTCGATGCACCCTGGAGGTTTTTAGGGAATCAGAACGCTCAGCATTTGAGTTAGCCAGCAGGGGGCACTCAGCGCCTGGCAGAGAAACTTCTCCCTCAGACCTAGGGAAAGCAAAGGAGGCTATTGCATCTCCTACCTTCCACCGGGCACCCTGCCAGCTCTGTACAAATATTAACTAATTAACCCCTCGTGGGGGACTGTAGCTAAACACCATCCAGTTTATTGATGGGGAAACTGAGGCATGCACCGATCCGGTGAGAAGCAGCAGCAGCTAGGACACGAACCCAGGAGTCCCAGTCCCCTTCTCTAATCACTAGACCCAGAAATGGAACCCAGGAGTCCTGCCTCGCTCATGCTCTAACCACTAGACCACATCACTGGGGGGCAAATACATTCCTGTCAACTATATCCCTGGTTAAAGCAGAAGCAAACAAAAGATGATTAGAGGCGTGAAACATGCCGGGTGAGTCGAAAGACAGATGCTGCCTGGTTTTCTGAGAATGGCACCAAGCCCCCAAGCGCCTGCTCTGTAGGAATAACCCCCCAGAGGGCTAACAAGGTAGGTGAGGTGACAGCACTGGGCACTTACCAACAAATAGATGCCACTTGCGATGCCCAAACACGCCGTGCCCAGAATGGTGGATAACAGGAAACCCGCAGGCACTGCAAGACTGAGCGAGAGAGAGATTTAACTCCAACCGAAACCTTTTTAAGACAAGCCTCCAAATAAATTAAGAGCAAAGGTTTCTGGGTAACGCAAGGCGGGAGCAAAGGTCTGTGGGTAGCGCACCGGGGAGCTGGTTCTCTCTGTGGATTCTGATGCGTTCCGCAGAATCCAGGCTTTTGTTTACCCAGAAATCAAACGTTTCCTCAGCTGGCGAGTCAAATCCCTGGTTCTCTCTGTGGCTGGCCAGACAGAAAGAGCCTGTCTGCTATGGGGGAGATGGTGCCTGGCACAGGGGGCACAGGGACAGGCTGGGTAGGATGCCAACCCCAAATCTCCAGCATGGGTTTAGCAGGAACAGTTCACTGCCCATTCCTGGATTCTCTCTGCTGTAATCTTTGGGGGATTGGAGCAGACTCTCCTCCCCGGGCTCAGAACCAAACCCAAGCCCCGCACACAACCTGGGAGAATTCCTGAGCGGGCGGAGCAGTCCGTTTACACAAACTCCCTGTGAACTGAAGCTGGGGAGACGCCTGCCATTTGACATCCAGGAGGCAGGAACAGATACGAATCTAGCCCCTGCCGAGAGCAACGGGTGGCTTCCCATCCCCAAATCAATGAAACCGTCTCACGCTTCCCATTCTGAAGGCTGGCAGAGCACATCCCAAACTCCATGCAACGCACACAGCCCCACTGAAATGCAGCCACCTCTGGGGTGGAGGGCAGCAGCCCACTGCGGCACTCTGTGTTGCATAACAGCAGGGGAAAGGGAAAACTTTGGGCCAGATCATGGGAGAACCGCTGCTTAAAAACAAAAAGAGTCTTGGGACAGTGCACACAGGCACTCTCATTCACCCAGAGCAGTCGTGGGCTCGGATCGATGTTGGAAGGGTGACGGTTACACTGACCCTATGGGGATCTGACCCCATGGTGAGAGGGGATGAGGGATTTCAAACCTGGTGCTTACGAAGAGAAGCCATCCCCTCTGGCTATGCACACCCTCTCGGTGCCGCCACTCAATCCAAGCCGGGCTGGGTCTTACTCGGGATCAGGCATGTGTATACTGAGACCTGGTTAAATGTAACCCCGGGTAGGAGTTGGCAGTGGACACACACACACACACACAGCTGGACTTACGCAGCATGCAGGATGGCCCGGACGTAGTAATTCCTAGTGATCGGCCCAAACACCTTCACCACGGCTGTCAAGTACTTCTGGCCACTGCATGGGGCGGAGAGAGAGCACACAGGGAAGGGGGGGTCAGAAAGGCATGGGATTCCCACAGAGGATGAGGCACATGACCCAGAAGGGCAGCCCTCCCTCTGCTCCCGATCACATGCCCCAATCTGCCCTGTGCCACGCCCCTCTCTCTGCCCCCTCTATCCTGATCAGGATCTAACATGCTCAACGAGGCAGTTGAAAACATTGTGGGAGCGCAGAAGTCTCCTCCCACCTGATCACCAATGACCAGCGAACAGGGCAGTGAGCTGCAGCCCCTGGCACTTGGGGATCTGAACTGCAATGTGACAGGGAGCCAGACAGGGCACAGAAAACCCTGCTGCTATGGAGGAAGTCAGCACCCTGGACACAAGACTGCAGGCCTGCGATACCCAGAGACCCGAGCCCAGTTCGGCCACTCCAGCTCCCTTACGACTTCCTCTCCAAAACCCCAGCAGAGCCCCTCCAGCCATGAATTTCAGGGCCACGACTGCATTTGGGGCTTTTTAACCCCAGCCGAGCCATGTTTCACTGCCATGGAAATGCCCCACTGCTGGCAGGGTGAGACCTTATCTAGCACGCCATCCTGCTGGCGGAATAAAGCTGTTCAGCCATGTGTCATAACCCTCATACTTCTCGGAGATTCTCCTGTAGTTCAGTCTGGAGATGTGCTGTTGGAGCAGGAAGAGGCACATTTTGGCCCTTCTAGGCCTGAAGAACACAGCAATTGCCAGACTGGATCTGACCAGAGGTCCAGCTAGCCCAATAACCTGTCTTCCACCGGCACCAACTGCTTCAGAGGAAGGGATGAGAAACTCCATAATGGGCATTAAGGATCACCCTGTCCATAGGGGAGAGTTCCTTCCTAACCCTTGTCAGTGAGTTGCTGGCTAATGCCCTGAAGCATGAGGATGTATTGGGTTTTATCCAATCTAATCTAACCATGGATGCTCTTTTCAAGCCTGCCCATGTCAAAATCCGTTTTTTAGGACCCTGCTAAGCTGTTGGCCTTCATATCATGTTGCAGTGAGTTCCACAGGTTACTTATCCATGGCTTAAGACACCATTTCCTTTCCTCAGCTTTGAGCATATTGCCTCCGCTCTCCATGCCATTCCATTGCCAGGAGGGGCTGCAACAGTCAGTTTGGGCCTGGACTGAAAGCCAGAAAATCCCCTTTGTGAGATCACCCTCCTCCCCCCCGACAGCTGGAGGCGAAGGCGGGGGAGTACTTACCATCTCTCCATGGTGGAACCCTTTTTCCGCTTCCCCCGGGGGTACTCCAGCAAGCAGATGAAGACCCCAGCCACTCTAAGAGGACCAGTCAAGGAAAATAGCGTCTCAGCGCCCCCACCCCCTTGGTCTACACAGCCTATCTGGAGCAGCCCATAAAGTACAGCACAGACCACGAGGTCAGGAGAAGCCTTTTTCAGACTCCCTCCCACATTCGCCGCCTGGATGGGACCTCGACTGCAGCATCCACCCTGGGGAACTTCTGCTGCCAGCTGTAGCAGCCTAGGACTGGCCCATCAGCCCATCGAATCCAGGATCCCACCTGTGGCTGTGGACAACGCCTGATGTTCCAGAGGGAGACAAGAAAAAGCCCATAATGCTGGCCAGCTAAGCAATGACAGGCAGAGGGTAACAACAGCTGACTGACCCCAGCAGGCGGAAGGGAGTTTGCCCCTGAAGCGTGAGGATTGGCTACCCCTGCTTTAGCACACAGAACCACAAAGGTTATCAACCAGCGGACAATTCCCCAGCCTCATTACAAACCCAGCCACAGCGGCTGGGCACTTCAACGCTTAGACCATGGAACTCGGCTAGTCAGTTTCACTGTTTGTTTATAGTAAGTTCCACTTCCGGGTTCCAATACACTGTCCCCAAAGCGGCTGCTTTTGGGTTTCTAGTCCCGTAGGGGGAGAGGGGTTGAAATGCCCCACCCCAATCTCTTCATTTTGACTTTGTGACATCGCGAAAGCTTTTCCAGCGACTCTCAACCTCTCGACAGCCGGGCACCCTTTTAAACCACTGCTGTGGTGAGGAAAGCCAGGACGCCGCAGCCTCCGGAGATCTTTGCCAGCAAGATGCCTCGGGAGCCCGGGGACAGATGGCGGTTCTGGGAAAGGATACATGGCATAGGCAGCAAACTGCCACCCTTTGAACTGAGCAGCTACCGCCACAATCCCTCCCGTCACTAGAACTAAGAGACAAGGGAGAGAGAGGGAGGAGGTTAATAAACCAGAGCGAACGTCCCCACACTCTGTCCTCGTGGTACCCAAGAGCTGAGCTCCTCTGAGCCCGGAACAGGCTCTGTCCCCATGTTCCTCTGCTCCAGAGCGATAGTTAATCCCAGGTCTAGCCATTCATTGAGCGCCCCACACGCCACGGCAGGTCGTTTCTGTCTGTTTACAGAGACACAGTTCTCATGCATTAGAGAAACAGCCCCCAACACGCCGCACAACCTCAAACTGCCCCCGCTGCTGCTCCCTCCCCCAGCCCGTATCGCGCCACCGACTGAGCCTGGGGAAGATTTTAAATCAAAGCCTCTCCTCGGGAGGAAAGAGCTGGAAACAGGACCCAACCTGAGAGGGTTTTTGCCATCCGGTGACGCCGAAAGAGGTCACCTCAACTTGTGACAAATTTAGCAGGAGAAATAACAATCCAAACGCACTCTGGGGCTCAAGCCAGGTCAGTTGGACACTCATTCGAGCTGGTCTTTGCACCAGGGAGTCAGACACCACAAGCACCGCTGTTTGGTCAGTTACACTCCAGCCTCTGGCCTGGCCATGGCATTTCAGCACAGCCCCGGCTACGCTGGTTTCAATTCCACTTGGGCCAGCCACCACGGACAGGAGAAATCACCTGCAAACCACCTTCAACTGAAGCTGAAGGACGGATTTAAATGTAAGAACACCGCCTGGGTAGAGGGCACCATGCGTAGCTGTGTCTGGCACGCTGGGGCGGGCACGCGTCACTGCAAGGGAAAGTGACACCGAATGGCCTCGGCTGGAGCTAGGGTTGGGGTGAGGTGGTAGGAGGGTGAAGAAGGATGAACTCGGGTGAGAGTTACAGGGAGCACTCAGCCGTAGGCACCAGTGGAAAGGGCCCCTTGAGAGGGCATCAGCCCCAGTTACTGCAGGGACTCCGCAGCACGTCGCATCAATACGCTAACCCAGTATTACAGTAACCATCACTGCATAGGCCCCAGCCCGGAAGTAAGTCCTGCCCGGAGCCAAGCATTGAACCCAGCTGGATTCTTCACCAGGGAGAGGAGGAAGAGACTTCGCTGGTTACCCAGACACCCTGGCTGGGAATCAGCAGGGGGACTTTCCCAGGTGTTACGAGAAGCCACCAGCACAGCCAGAGCCTCGCCAACTCACACAGCAAGAGCACAGCAGAAAACCCCACTCCCAGCGAGGATACAGCTGCCCTGTCACAGTAGCTGGGACCTGAATCTGCCAGACAGCAGCAGCCTGGCAGGGCATTTTCACATTGCCCTAAAGCAGAGCCAGTTTTGCAGGAGTGGTCCCCTGTGAAGGTCACGCATCCATGGTGACCTGGGCAGGAATGCAGCTCTCACTCTGGTCAAGCCAGTCCAGAGGCAGCTTTTTAAAGCCACAGCTAGTGCACCTGTGACGCCCACTTTGCACTTTCCCATCAGCCAGGCAGAAGTGGGAGCAGAGGGACAGAAGTTGCCTGGCTCTTTATTCACTGGACTAGACACGGGCGTGAAAGCCCAGAGCCAGCCAGAGAGAAGGGTTTAGGTCTAAGGGAGGATGTGCTACTCGCAGAGGCAGGCCCAAAGTTAAGAAACTTCCTTGTTTCCTGCACAGTCCATCACATTCTTTCCTTGCTTAAAAAAACAAAACAAATGCAGCCTTGACATTCTCAAAGCCTCTAGCGGAGGCGATTAACCTGCCGCGCACCATCCGCTGGAGGGAGCGATTTCTAACTGAACAAACCAAACAGCCAGGATCCGTTCACTGGATTCGGTTCCTTTTAGACTAACAGACGCTTCGGGATTTTTCGTGTCTAAGCAGAAAAAAATAAGCCCAAAAGACCCTAGGCTCAATAAATAGTTTAATCTACCCCCACCCCCACCCTCTCCAAAAGTTGGCCTGACTTGTGAGCCTTAAATGCAATGCTCCCTGCCCCCATTGCATGTTTTGGGGCCTTTCTTTTAACTCGTTAGGCGTGTCTAATTTGCAGTTACCACAGCAGATCCCACAACTCAGATAATGACATGCACACATCGCTAATTAGGTGCCAATCACTAATTAGGCACACTGCCACGCATAGTTACCCAGCTAGCAGGTGGAAGGATTAAAGGCCAAGTGCTATAACCATGCCTGCTTCAGGCCGTAAACCAAATCCTAAGTGATGGATTGAGAAGCAGCCTTCCCTGCAGACAGGCAAGTCCCTCACTGCCTACTACTGAAGCATCTGGCGCTGGCCGCTGCCAGAGAGAGGCTCCCAGGCCAGCTGGACCCTGCGTCCGATCCAGACGGGCAATTCCTACGCGCCTGGCCCACAAGGCGAGTATTTTGCCTGCATCGTTGCACATTCGCATTTATAAACTGGCCATTTGCGGGTTTGAGTTCCAGGCTGGTGCTGGCCTGGCAGCTCCCAGCTCCTTCATTTATCCCCAGCTACTTTGCTCTGCGCTCGCGTCCCCATCGGCACAAGCTGGCGGCACCACCATGGCGGTGGCAGGAGACACAGGGTACCACACGCCAATCGGGAGGCGGACTGCAGTGTGCATAGGCAGAACTGAGCGATCTTAGATCCAACCAGCTCACTATAAATAGCAGCGTGGCAGCGGCTTAGATGCCCCAGTACGTACCCAGGGCCCAGGCGAGACAGTCCGTGGGTGGCTAGCCCATGATCCCGCCCCCCTCGTTTCCCAGACACACTGCTATTTTTAGCAAGCTAGCTCAGGCCTGCCTACCCTCCCAGCTGCAGTGAAGACATACCCTGAAGGTGAAATCCCAGTGCCAGCAAAGTCGGCAGGAGTTTTGCCACTGACTTCAGTGGGCCCAGAATTTCACCCCCAAGGCCAGACTTCCCAGCTACTGATTTTAAGCCTCACTGCCAGCCTGGGTGCCAGGCTGACGGTGGATTTTGTGATGACGAGCTGTCCACGGGAACTAGACGGTAAATGTAACTTGGTGGCTACAATCACCTGATGGTAACAACACCCAGTAACCGAGAAGCAAAAGGCTCCCCATCTCATCCCTCTCTTCCCACCAGCCCTCCCTCCCTCTCTACTTCCAGTGAGTTCTCCAACAATTGAAGTGTCACAATGATGCTGTAATGTAGTTAGGTTCTTCTCTCTGGCCGGCAGCTAAGCAAAGTTCGCAACCACGTCACGGCTGGGGGGTGCCAGCAGGGCAGATCTAGTTAATTTATATATTGGAGCAGTGGGTCTCAACCTGGGGCCTGTGGGCCGCAGCAGTGTGCTGACGGGGCTGCATGTGACATCCCCAGGGCCAGACAGGTAATTACGGATGCAGGCCGCAATGAGAAATAGGTTGAGAACCACTGCATTGGAGGGATCCCAGCTCCTAGCTCGAGAACACTTTAGAAGAAAAAATCCCTGTACAAACGCTCTTCCCAAGGGACTCAGCCCCACGCCGGGTGTCAAACTGAGGCCTGGCTCCACTGCCACGTGTTACCATATCCCTGTGTCGGCGTTCGCAGTGTGAACGCTGCTATCCCAGGATAAAGGTGC